AGACGCATATTGCTTTAAAAAACTGTTAATATTTACTTTTTCATTCTGCAGAATTATTTTTTTTCTTGATATACTTCTGAATAACATTGTAATTCTTGTTGTGCTTTTTGTAATGTTCAGCATAACTATGGAAAAGTATGCTAAATTGACAAGGTTTGAAGAATGTAATGTTTACTTTATTTCAAATCTGTTAACAAAACAAAAATGTGTTTTGTTTTTAGCAATCAGCAGTGTGATGCAAAATGGAGAAAGAATAGATGTCTTGCTGCTTGTTGAAAAAGGAAGGTAAATTGTTAATTTACATACAGCTATAGTATTTATGGTCTGATGTTTGTCCTTGCAGGTCTTAGAATTCTTCTTTGGCAACATCAACAGCAAAACAAAGTAAAAAAGTAAACATATAGAAAAAGTTTACTTAGTGGCCTAATTAAACCTTAAATTCATGTAAGAAAATGCTAAAACTTCTATTTTAACTGTAAGTTTTCCAGTAACAAATGATATACAAAAAACTAGAACTCTTGGTTCCAAAATGATACTTTTATTTGACCAACTGGAAAATGGCAAGAAAATTGTAGAAAAGGACAACTTTCTTGCCATTTTTCAGTTGGTCTAATAAAAGGTGACATTTTGGAACCAACAGTTCTTTGTATGTCTTTTTGTCTCAGACCAACACGGCTACCAAATACTCCCCCAATAACAAATGAACACTCTCAGATGAACCTGTCCAAAAATGCCTCTTAAGAGATTCCTGATTTCCATGGCCTCTTAAGAGATTACTGACTTCCATGGACAGAGGGAGTGAGATCTTTTCTAAACATTTCATATCTGTGTCTCAGTCTTGATATCAATCTACTGTGTGTTAATCTACTAGTATTTCTAGGTTCTGTGGTTTAGTCATTTTAGAAGTCTGTGAAAGAACTTATACATTTAATCCATTTATTCATATTTAATGCCTGATTTCAGTTAGTACATGTTGGTAAGGAAAATTATTTGTTGAGACCTAGTTGCAAAGGAATGTTAGGGTAGAAACAGATGTTGCTTTTGTGCTGCCATAAGAATTAAGGTGGTAAAGGTCAAATAAACAGATGTCTATGCTCCTTGTTGTGGTGGACATTTGTTTGCTTTAATATGTGAGAGCACAGGCAGCCTCAAGGTGCCTGTGCTCTCCAGCTATCCAGGCAGGCACTGTCAGAGCTTAAGGGGCCTGATCCTGCCTGGCTTTCCCTTGCTTACAAAGACTCACCCACTTGCTCCAATTCTGGGGCTTGGACTGCAAATGAACTTTCCTAGTGAGTTCAACGTTTTAGTACAGCTCCAGGGCTGGGACTGCCAATCAGCTGATTGTTGCTTTCAGACCTGAGACTGCACTGGAGTTGACTTTCCGTGCTTCCAGAGATGCACCTAGGGGCCACATCTCTGTAACTGGAACATGCTAAATGTCCCGTAGGTACAACAGCTGGCAAATGCTTTGTCCGGTGAAGCAGATCAGCTGTGCTGGGACACTTGCCTTCATTTGGTGATATCTATTTCTAGCCTTAAAGTAGCAAACAGCTGTGAGCCATGTCTGTTTACTCAGAAGATTTTGTAGTTCTGATATCTAAACTCTGGAATTTTTTTGCATATACAGAGAAGCATTGTCTGTCATCTCTTGACTGCCTGGAAATATTTATAGAATTGATGGAATAAAACTCATACTACTCACCTATTTGTTAGCTGAATAAAACTTGCTTAAGAGAATGGCTTACCCAAGCAGTTAACAATTTCAATAATAGTTTCCACAAGCAAAATAGATGAAGGAAACAAAACTGATCCGAGAATGATAAAGATGGAGTAGTGAACATGAAAGATGGTTTTCTTAATGCCAAGTTTAGGTAGAATAGTACTGCCTTGAGGATTGGATGTGAACTCCTCTCTAAAGCACTCTCATAATTAGGGAAAAGACTCCTCATTTGACCACGAAACTGTTGCTGCTTATATGATATTGAGGAATTTGAACAGTTGATGACAGATTGTCTTGTCTTGTCTCTCAGGGAGAAATAAAGAACAGTTGCTGAGTTGCATCTTTGAGTGATTATACTTTTATAGCAGACTTCCAGTATTGTAAACAACCCTGCACACAACTACTTTCAGAAGTTATTGGTTTATATTTGGAGAAAAAAATCACTGTATACTTCTGTCTCCAATATTTTAATTCTCTCTCCAAACATTTATTTTTCTAAAATTCTAGACCATGTCAAAACTTATTATGGCAGTACAGATGGAAAACTGAACCATATTTTCCTGAGAATATTTTTTTTACTTTTTAAAGTATATTGAAAGGTGTGATGCTCAATAAAACATTCAGAGCAACTAGGGACACTGTTAGGCATCCTATTCAAGACATTGTGTGGCAGATTAATACATATCATATATCTAATTTCATAGATATCAGTACTGAGCAAAACTGCTTTCTGTAAGTCAGATTTTATTATTTCTTTCATTACAATATTTCTGTCAAGTAAAGACAGGTTTTCCCTGGACTGCTTTAATAGTTTAATGGGAATTCTGAACTATTTGAAAATAATTTCTGGGGGGACACCCTCTGATTTACGGTGAGCATGAATATGTTGAATTTTTCCTTGCTTAAGTCTACTACAATAAATTTAAATACGTAGTGTTCACATTATCTTAACCATTAAAAACCATATGGATACAAAAGCTCTGGTATAGTGATACCTGCTTAGGATATTGCTCTATAAGCATCCAGGTGTTCAGCATGCATCTTGCAGTGATAAGCAATTTATCATAACATAGTTTTTGAAGATTTTAGAAAGCTAAGCAAAACAAAAGATGTATGTCTCCAGACTCAACTTTGAGATGTCAGAATAAGCAAAGTTAGCCCATTAATACCACATATAAGTAAATATCAACTTAGTGACAGTACTAGGGGTATTAATATAAAATCTGTAATATAAAATTCAGAGTCTTTACACTTTCAGTCATTGTACCTGACCTTTGGTCCTGTTTTTTGAAGTGCCCAAGTTCTAAACCTTCTCAGCATGAAAGATTTAATAATCTAATATACTAATTAGAGTATTAATCTAATATTCTGTCTTCCCCAAAAGAGGTTCAGGATGGCTTACAATAAATCAGAAAAAAGTTGAAAGACAGAGAAAAATATTAAAATAAAATAGTATGTAACAGAACAAGCCTCTCAGACAATATCCCAAATTTAAACTCCTCCTGCACAAAATAAAAGGTCAATGTGTATCAAGAAAATGTTCAGGCTTAGGCAGTGAGATAGCACAAGAGGGAAACTGTTCTAGTGCTGTGGAGTATTTAGCAAGAATGATTTCCCATGTGTTTTCATCAGATATGCTTGGTGCACAAGTTGAAGAAGCTTTGAAGAAGGTTGCTCTCAGCTGACATTAGAGATTGCAATGGAATGCAAGGGTCTCTTAGGTATGTAGGGCCCAGGCTATGTAGAGCTTTATAGGTCAAAACCTTAAATTGCACCTGAAAAGCTGTTAGAAGTCAGTACAGACTCCGGATCACTAGAGTAACATGCTCCTGGCAACCCATCCCTGTCCAAAGTGGGCTATCTCATTCTGCACCAGCATGGACACCCTAGTTTCAATCAAGTGTAAGACTTTCTGTGTGGTCAACAGTGAGTATGACAGCACCCCTACAGAAGGAGCAAGTATGAGAGACCCTGTGTTGCATATTGATTACTGTGACTGCCTTGAAACCCTTTTCTCACTGGGTTGAGCTACCTGATTGGCTCCAGTGTGCTTCTCTGCCTCCCTCACAGTATTTAAGCTTGCCTAAGCTTTAAAGCCTCTTGACTTGATTACCCTGCCTTCCCTTGTCTTAGTTGTAACAAGATAGCTGTGTTATATGGTATGGATCTAGTCAGTTACCATTTTGGAATCGATAAGGAATTTGTTTCCACTGACCCAAATTGCCAGGAGTTTTGTTGTGATTATTTTTCCTCCTTTGGAGCTTCAGACAGATGCAGTAGAGTTAATAACAATAGGACTTCAAAACTAACCTTAATTGTCAGCTTGTGGCAATTATGAGTGAATGGCTAAAAGGTGCAGCTCTTAGGGCCTTGTTACATGGTAAATTTAGGTGGCTTCTGGAGCTCTTAACCTCTGGATTGGCTGTATGTTAACACCTTTAAGTGACTTAAAGCACATTTTCTGACTACATTGATTCTACTTTCTTCTCTTTCACAACAGACTAAAAAAGAAACACAAAATGTGAAGACATTGCGGTTGACAGCACTGACTTCATTTGTACTAAGAAACTTTTTACATAGATTTCTAATACTGCCCCTGCTCATCAAACCTCTAGTGGCAGGTCACAGTCAGAGATGATTTTTCACCTTAAGGTGCGACTGATTCACTAAGCCAGACAACACTAAGTCAATTAATATTTGTGCTGGTATTTTTCTTGTGGAACTCGTTCCCGTAAGAAAAAAAAAGAGACCTCATCTTTGTGGATTGAAGATCAATCCATCTCCCCGTGCTTTGGGCTTCTACTACCTCTCCCCCAAGGTAGGCCAAGGAGGGTCGTTCCCCAGAAGCTTGGTTATATGGTGCAAGCACCTTTTAGCTTCTGTTGGAACTAATTTAAATATTTAGTATGAGAAACTGAAGATTGGGCAACCTCTCCTCAGTGTTCACACTAATAACAGTTCAGCTTGCAATTTAAAATCCTTCTCATGCATTTGTCATTCATTTGCCTATCTCACTTAATGAGAAATTATAATAATAGGAAAGAGAGTAGTGAGTTTAAGTCTTTGTATATTTTTTTCATGCATTTGTGGCTTAAGTGTATTTTAAGTATATTTTTTATCCTACAAAAGATTAGGTACATAAAATATAATTCATAACTACCATGTTCTT